TCTCTTCCCCGCTTTTTTTAAGGTTACAGGGAGTTGTAATATGGTAGTTCAGGAGGAAAAATTCTATCAGTAACAACAAAAAGCCGTCAGTAAACTCATGAGGGGTTTAAAGCTGACTTAAGCTGGTCCCTTCATCTTTCTGCTGCTCTGAGGCCAAAAGGATTGTTCATGGAGTCTGGCCTGGACAGCACTGTTTTTTCTCACCAGAGAGTGCTTCTTGAGGAGGGGTGGCTCTCTTGGCCTACAATTGGCAGTGTATACCGGGGAAGACAGGCCCCGATTCTCTCTTCTAGGTCACCTTCAAGACTGATTCTACTCACTATGGGTTCATAAGAATGATTGACCTTGCATTAGTCCTGAGAAAATAACTGACCCAGTGGGAGAGTTGGAAGGAAAGCTTAGTAATGCCAGGACCAAGGGCTGATCTGGGGAATGGTGCATTCCTATTTTGATGTTGTTTATTTCAGAAGCAGAATTAGGTAAGCAAAACTCCTAGATGTGACTGAAACACAAGAAATACACCCATACCCTGCTCTGGCCTGTTGAAAGCATCATTTTATAGTACTTTTACTGCTACATAACTTTTGTATCAATATTAGAAATGAAACTTACTTTGTTTTCAACATAAGAATATTCAAAATTGAAAACTATCATTCCTGTTTGAATCCTGGAGTTAGGGAAGATATTAGCTTGGCTCTGAGTGGGTGATTGATGATAGAAATGATTGGCAGATAATGTGTTGCTGATCAAATTCTGCATTTTGTGGCTTTTCTTGTAATCCTCTCTGTGCTTACCTATTCACCATGAAGAATTCTGAGGCAGAGTCACCATCTATGTCCTTAAAACATGCTGCTAATCAGAATGACAAGGTTCAGCAGAAATACCACTGGAGTCTCTTTTTGTTCTGTTGGTCTCTTCATAACCCTCTGCTGTGTTTGACTTTCATAGGTTGATTTTACATCAGAAGTGTAGGATTCTGTTTAGACTAAAATCTGTTTTTTTTTTTGAGACAGAGTTTCACTTTATCCCCCTCGGTAGAGTGCCATGGCGTCACAGCTCATAGCATCCTCCAACTCCTGGGCTTACGCGATTCTCTTGCCTCAGCCTCTGGAGTAGCTGGGTCTATAGGTGCCTGCCACAACTCCTGGCTATTTTTTTGTTGGCAGTTTATCTGGGGCTAGATTCGAACCTGCCACCCTCAGTATATGGGGCCGGTGCACTACCCACTGAGCCACAGGCGCCTCCCTAGACTAAAACCTTTTAATATGGTGCCAGAGCTCCTTGCCATCTGCAAAGATGACTGGGGGTGGATCATTAGGCCACCTTTTGAGAGGTGGCTGCTGGTTAGGGCAGAAAGCTGATAGATAACCTTACCATGTATTGGCAGCAGCTAGATCAGGCCCTCAGCAGAGATAGAAGAAATGGAACTAGTATGCCTCCCTCTGGCAATGGTGCTAAAGCTAGAGAAGAGACCATATTAACCATTGTTCTTAAACTGGTCCGTTGAACTCCAGAGAATCTCGAAGCTTCCTGGAATTATTTCTAAAAGGCCTGTGAGCATATATATTTGGTCCTCTTGGGTACATAACATAGATCAGTAATCCACTAAGGATTAAGAACTACTAGTTCGTTGTTGTTGTTGTTGTTTTTCTTTTTGAGACAGAGTTTCACTTATTAACCCTCAGTAGAGTGCTGTAGCGTCACAACTCACAGCAACCTCCAACTCCTGGGCTTAGGCGATTCTCTTGCCTCAGCCTCCCGCTATAACACCCAGCTATTTTTTTGTTGCAGTTTGGCTGGGGCGGGGTTTGAACCCACCACCCTCGGTATATGGGGCTGGCGCCCTACTCACTGAGCCACAGGTGCCGCCCGAGAACCACTATTTTAGTCCAACTATTCATTTGACAGTATGAGGAAACTTTTAACCCAGGGTCACACAGAGCCAAGATTCAATCCAAGGCCTTGGACTCCTCCATAGAGCAGAATAATTTTCTGTTCTACTGCCCTGTACCATCCTGGTGTACTTACCTCTGATTAATACCACATTGGCTTGGGAGGCTGAGGCAAAAGAATTACTTAAGCCCAAGAGTTGGAGGTTGCTATGAGCTGTGATGCCATGACACATTACTGAGGATGACATAGTAAGACTCTGTCTCAAAAAAAAAAAAAAATCACATTGGCATCATATGCTGGACCTAAACCTAGTTTTCCTGATACACTTTTAGGATAATTGACTTAAGTGGCAAGTATTCACGCAGTAAGTAGTCAGTATTTATTGTTTGTTTCATTATGAAAGAGTAGCACATGTTCATTAAAGAAGATTTAGAAAAATGAAAAGTCAAAAACTACAACAAATTCACCCCCAGTTTCAGTTCTTTTCTCACATAACCACTATTGGTATTTGTGTTTTTCCTGCAGATGGGGTTTGTGAGTGTGTGTTTTTAACTTTATATATTCAGCTTCATATTATGCTTGTTTCATTTAACATCTTAGAGTCTTCCATGTTCTGAAGTGGTGTATTTCTTTATACTTCTGCCTCTTCTTTTTCTTTCTTTTTTTTTTTTTTGAATTTTGCTTTTAATTGGCTTTCACTCATCTTAGTTTTAAGTTTTGTTTTTTAATTTTTTTTTTCTTTTCTTCCTTTAGCGATTCTCTTGCCCTTAGCCTCCCAAGTAGCTGGGACTATAGGCGCCCACCACAACGCCTGGCTTTTTTTGGTAGAGATGGGGTCTCGCTCTAGCTACTTCCAGCTCAGGATTGCTCTGAGCTCAGGCAGTCCCCTCGCCTCAGTCTCCCAGAGTGCTGGTACTACAGGCATGAGCCACCGCACCCAGCCTTCCTGCCTTTTCCATACATCTTTCTGGCATAGTATTGGCCTTAGTTTTAGGGATTCCCAGAGAATACACTGTGTAGCTAGAAGCACAAAATGTATGTCTGTTTCTGTATGTATTTTAATCCCTAGACTTAAGGCTTGGTGCCATGGAGGAAGTTTTATAGCTGCTAAGCTAATGATTTTAGAATGTAAAAGTTATGGGTGGCACCTGTGGCTCAGTAAGTGGGACGCCGGCCCCATATACTGAGAGTGGCAGGTTCAAACCCAGCTCCAGCCAAACTGCAACCCCCCCCAAAAAAGAATTTAAAAATTATGTGACATGGGAAGCTTCCAGAGTGTTAGGAATACTAGAGCTATGTGTGCCTTCCTTGCATTTGGATGTCATCATTTCCTCTTCTGAGAAGAATAGCCTGTTTCTTAGGCTATCTAATGGGAGAACATTGAAAACACTTTAAAAAGTCATCTACAAATTGTTGTGGTCATGCATATGCTTGAAAACATGTGATGTGTGATAGTGCTCTCTCCCACGTATATGGTATGGGCAGATAGAATCTTTTTTCTATGTTGAGTGATACTCTCTGTGAGTGTCGACAGGTCAAGTTCATTGTTGGTGGATTGGCATGAAAATAAATCCTTGTGGAATTATCTTAAATTCTATTCTGGTCCCTAAAATTGGCTTGTGATCTCTTGATAACTAAAATGGGAACAGAAGCTGGGCTTGTGTTCTGAGGTGCATTAAAGCTGCTTTTGTTCCTTGGAATCTGCTTTGCTTCATCCATTTGGTTCCTTCCCCCCACATCCTTGCCCAACAGTTGCCACACCAGAGCTTTGATGCTTGTCCTACTTGGGCTGGCAGCTCTGTGGTGGTGGCATGTCAGCTGATCTCAGGGCTTCACACAGATTAGTATACATTTTTTAAAATATAAAATGTTTTTTTCTCTTGATGGAAGTCAAAGCTTACCATGTGCATACTAGAACCTGATAGGAATGGTAAAGCTGCAAAGTGTGGAAAAGATGCAAGAGCTGGAAAATCCAAGGCCTTTTAAAAGAAGTGAGTTGTTGAGTTCCTGACTAGCTGCCAGAACCCTTCCATCTTCCTTAAGCCATTTCCCTCTGTAACCACACGGGGGCATCTTTGGACCTTATATCAAACACCTTAACGTCATTGTGGGAGTGGAATCATGTCTATAGTATTTTCTTGAAACAGCCAGTTGCTACCCAGATTTGTATTTTTATGTAAACGCTTACATTTTTCACATAAATGAAATTTGAAAAATAAAAATAGAAAGAAGGAAAAAATACATCCATGGTCTTTTTTTAATCTGGCATAATTCCTTTCAACCTTTTAATGTTCTGTAGGTGTATGTTCCCAGTTGACTGTTTTTTTTTTTTTTCTTTTCATCTGCCCTTCTACTCTAGAATATATCTAGGTTGGGCCAGTCCTTTGGATCAACTTTTCATTGTTATCTAGTTAAAGGGGATACTTGGAAGAGCAAAGTTTAGTTATCTTAGAACAGTTAACTTTTCAAAAGCCTTTTCTTCCAAGAAGAGTAACATAGAGATCGCCAAGAAAGAAACAGTTTTTAATGTTCTTTTGTTGATTCTAGTTTGGTTTATCTAGTTAGCTGACTAACAGGCATGTAACATCAGAAGTTGGTGAGGCTTCCGTGTGGTGGATGTTATATAGGTAATCTAGGTCTTGTACCTCACAAGAGGGGTTTCTGTGTAGAATATGTGTACTACAAACCCAGGGGTCTGTGTGGGCTCATGAAGTTCCCTCTACCCACAGGATCTGATATTGTGGGTGGCCACCCAACAGTTTTGCATATCAGGAGGAAGAAGGTTCAGTCTGGAAAACTAAGTCAGGAGCCCTCTAGAAGATGGAAAGTCTCAAAAGGTGTGGCAGTTTTATAACCATCCGGGGGTTCCCCGAGAAAAGGGACTTGACATATTATTTTTAGGGAAGTTGGTGCTCAGGAGATTTGGTTTTTGCTGATGGACATTAGCCTCAGTAAAAAGTAAGAAGAAGCTTAATTGAAGTTGGCTTCTGCTTCATGGAGCAGGGTGTTGATGGTCTTGTACCTTCCTAATCATCCCAAGTGTACACCTCTTGGGCAGTGCCAGTACAGTACTAGAGAG